GAAAAGTGGGGGTCATCTTGTACATGGGGGCGTCTTATTGACGGAAAAATGCAGTCAATGCAGAAAATCAGAATTGCTGCTATCCCATCTATTGATCCCAACTGTGCATCTGTCTCCAGAATTAGTACTGCCACCACATAGAAACTTGATCTGCCTCTGAGGTTCACGGTAGGAGAGAGGATCGGCCAGTTTCATCATTAGCAGCATAGTAGCAGCTTGTGGAAAATCAAACTAAATGACATATTGACCAGGAACTCTCCATATCTGGAGCAACACTTGCTCAAGCTGCTGACAGAACTATTTAGTATAAGAGACCTGACAGACTGGTTGACACACAGAATTTATTCCCGAAGACACACAGAGGATGTAAAGTAGCATAGCTTTTTATGAAAGTTGCATTCTCCTGGAACCGTTCAAGAATAGTACTATTTTAGAGGCACAGTGCAAATTGTGTCAAACCGATATTACCAAAATTTCAGAAGAAATCCACAAAATAAATAATTTGCTGAAATTTGCATATTGTATAAACATAACACTAAGTGTAATGTTATAGTGTTTACTCAGACATCTTTCAGAGCTAATGTCTTTATTCCTAAGTTCAAATAGCATTTATTTGAAGTGTATTGGCAGCAGTCTTCCTCTATTTTTTCCATTAAGTAGATGGAACAGATTTAAAAGGAACAGGTGCAGAGAATCTTCCTGATTTGTGCACAAAGGATTCATCATTCAGGTGTTAAGTAAATTAGCAATATTGACCTGTATTAAAAGCTTTTAAGTGATGAGAGATCATGTATTCAGTTTCTTCCTGTGTAAAAAGTAATGCGTAACATGTGTCTCAAAAAAAAGCACACCAGTGATTTTCAAGTGTAAAACCATGTCAGAACAGCCAAGGGAAAGGCTTTTATTCCCATACCTGGGCTTCGCTGTTATCCGACGCGTCTCCACAATCTGAGGTAGAAGATTATAAATGCTCTCCTCCATGACCATGGCTGCCATCTTAAAACACCTACAAATAAATTACTTAAATTGCTCAGGCTATTAAGCAAACTATCTCTCATATTTTCTCTCATACCCATGCTACTCAGTTTCTCTTATTGCTCTACCCGTGCACACTCAAGCATTGTGGCTTTCCTTCACATTTACTCTTTCACATTTCCATTCTTTGCACTTCACTCTCATTTTTCCTCTATCGAGCACGGTCTATTGCAATCACTTTAATTTGGCCCCCCAACCCTAATATCACTTATAATTCATACATGAATATATACATAGTTTTTGCCAACCAACGGCTCACCATATTGTTAAGTACATGTAACATCTTGATAAAGGATCCTTACTGTCTTTCTAAATAGAAAATCATACTTCTGGTACTGGTTGAGAAGCCTGTGAAATTTACCAAGCAAACTCAGAGTGAAACTCCTTTGGGATAAACTTAATTAACCATATTATCTTGCCAAGTATCAAACTTCATTTTTCTATACATTGATGCAGAATATCCAGCTTATATTCATGAATGGTGATCACCTGAAGAGGCTCTAGAAATCTGTGGAGGCCCAGAGAGACACAACTCAATGATTAAGCACATGGTTTTTGTCTAAATCCCAAATTCAGTTTCTAGTTTAAAGGACCTCAAGACCCCTCTTTGCTCCAAGATTCTGGAAAGCTACTCATCTGTATCAAGCAATCCCCCCCTCCCCGCAATAGTCTAACAGTCTGGCTCACTAGAGGACAGTTTCACACCTTCAAATCAAGCTGAAGAGGCAATGTAGCATCGTGATTATATCATTGAACTAGGGCTGGAGTCTAGCTGAAGTCACTACTATGAAATTCACAGGTGATCTTAGGAAAATCAACACCTACATTCACACATCATGCTAAGATTTGGTTCTCTGAACCAGTTTCTGTTTAACCACAACTGGTTGGATTCACACAACTCTACACCAGGTATCATAGTTTAACAAACCACAGCAGTTAGATTTATAAGATTCAGTCCAAACCAACTGAACCATTTTATGGCTTAGCACGTTGTATGAATCCAGCCATCTTCTCTCCCACCCTTACAAGGTTGTTAGGACAGAAAAGAGGCGGGAGAGAAAGAGCCCTAAGCCTCGCCACACCATTTGAAAGAAAGAGGAAGCGTGCATGTAATAATATTTTTTAAAAAGTATCCGATATTGCTCATCAATTCAGTCTACTAGCTTACCTGCTCCACAAATCTTTTTTTTCTCTCCCCCACACCCCACCCTTCCCCTCTCCTCCAAGGCCTTTCTCCACTCTTATTCGAATTCTTCCTCATTCAGCGGCATCTACTTCACATGGGCTGCAACATGTTCACTGTTTGGTTACCCCTGGAAACAACAGCTTAGTAACACATTTGTATCGAACGGGAGACTGACTTTGTGTCATCACTTCCGGAATCATAACGAACAATAGGCGGCCGAATGGGGCGGGACATGGAGCTCGATGGAACGGTGCGCAAGCGCGATAGGAGAGTTAAACAGCAAGGACGCCATACAATGATAGAAGGAAGGAGTCGGTAGATCTTCGGACGAGGTCGGAGTGGGCGTGTGCGCATGCGTAAATAGTACGTATCTCGGCTGGAGCTGATGCTTGAAGGGGAGGGTAATTGAGTGCGGGTGGGAAAATTCTGCGTTGGAAAGGAGAGCTTTCTTGTGAGCTAGATGCTTAGCTCTTCCTCCTAAGTTTGGGGAACGCACAAATCTTTCCTTGTTCATGATTAGAGGTTCACGGCCAATTGACCGAGCGGGAATCATGCCGAGAGAAGCGCTTTTGCGGCCCTCTAATGATGGAGAAATTCAATTCCCGACAGCTTCAGCCTGCATAGAGAAGGGGGGTATGCTGGGAATTGTAGTTCAGCAGTAAATGGAGGTTTGCAAGTTTCAAATATGGAGGAGGAAGCCATTTACGATTTGATTTCTAATTCACCACATGAGATTGGACTGGCCCGGATCTGGAAAATACCAGCAAGGGAGGTTCGTTAGCATGCTGCAGCAGCCAAACATAAACGAGTTTTTTTGAATGCTTCAAGACGGCGCTAAGAAATTTGGTAGCTCATCAGATGCTCCTAAAACCAAACAACGCCAGCCAATATGCAAATAGTCAAGGATGATGGGAATTGTAACCCAGAAATAATTGAAGGGCCACAGTTTCTTCATCCCCTGCTTAAACAGTCTAGCAGTCTAAACTCTTGTGAAAAAGCACAGCATCGCATACATGGAAGCCACGCTGGTGACTGAATCCTAAGGCTAGAAATTCAAGTAATTTGTAAAAGAATGATTCCAGGGTAATATTCATCTATCAGAGCTGGGTTCAGTATTTCCACCCTCATCTCCACCATCAAGTTGCTAGGTCCTTCTCTGCTGAGACTCCCTTAGTTTGCATTTTGGAAATACTTTGGAATGATATCCTGTCTTATTGTCTACTCAGGAGGACAAAGATGATATAAAGCCGCAAACAGGTACTGATTGGATTCACTTATCAAGCTAAGCCATAATGTTTGTTTGGATTAGTACAATCAATTTAGCTGAATTTGTTATTTATTACTTCCTTGATTAAGCCCTCAGGTTCAGCCCATGTTCATGGGAGAGATCTCATCTAGGCTTTCTACTTAGATAGTTATAAACAAACTCTCCTTCCCTTGTCCTGAGCAGTCATTTTAAATTTTTAAATGAAAATCAGTCTCTTTGGGGAGATTATTGTTTTGTCCAGACAAGGGCAGTCCTTTATCAATATTGTCCTGTGTCTACCATAACTGAGAAATAGTCTAAATCTACCTTCCTAAAGACCTTTGGTGAAATGATAAAGGCTCACAGTTTGCTTTTGTATCAGTGGGATTACATAAGAGAACTCTTTTGGGGGGGGGGTTAATTCTATTTATTCAGGAGTCACTGGATGGAATCATAGAATCACTTAATGAAATGCTTAAAGGGGCACTATTGAGAAAGTAGTGCATTTGTATACCATGGCTTAACATGATGTGTGATTCCAGCCATTACGTTCCAGATTAATAGGTCAGCATCCATTACCCCAAGCAACGGAGGACTCTCAGTCTGGGAATTTAATGTGAACACCAGTAATCAATTTTCAATTTTGGTCAGTTTTAGTGGACCAAAGTTGAAAATTGGACATATGATGTTAGTCTTATACAATGTGTTAGTGTAAATGTTTGATTCATTGTGAGCTGAACAAGAACAAACTGCAACTGAGAATCCAATAGGGTTGTATTTCCAAATATTAGAGGTAATATTAGACCTTTTGTAGCTTCCATAGTCATATTAACCGAGTGGAAAACTGCCAAGGTGTGCATGCCAAGAGAGGGCAGATCCGCCCCACAGTTTCTCTTGTACATACATGTAGACTTCATTTATAAAAGACTAACATTTCATATTGCTTGTAGTTCTGACCATGAGGATTGAACTAGATGGAGGATCTCTTTCACTATTTAAATTAATCAACACATTTGAAATAAAATATCTCTGATTTGCTTCACTTATGTTCTGATGGCCAATTATTCAAAAAACTCACTTATCATTTAGAATACTGAAGAGCTGTTCCTTTTTTAATGGTATTAGTTAAACTGCAGATTAGTTTTGTACATACAGTGAAGTTCTTCGTTTGAGATTCATTTCTTTAGATTATTGCAATCACATGCATACTGTTAGATCATCTAAACTACAGATCAGTTAAGCAGCAAAAATGATGGTATGAAATAAAGCTCTGTAGATTGGATCTGGAGTAACTGTGCCTTGAAACTTAAAAAACTAAATATGGTCAGGTGTTGTAATACTTGAATGGGAGACCACTAGAAAATCTTGGGCTGTTGACAAGGCTGAGAAGTCAAAAAATCATCCCAGAAGAAGACAGTAACAACCACTTCCATATTTTGATTATGTGCCATCAAATTGGAGTCAACCAAGAAAAAAAAATAGGTTATACCCTCACATCCTGCTTCCTATGGAACGAAGTCGCCCCAATAACCATCTTGAGTGACATATCCTCATGATTCCACTTTTGTTTCATTGCCAGTCTGTGTGCTCATGGTAGCCTAAAATTATCTTCAATTGTTCCACATTAAAATAGTGTTTTCCCTCTTCTCCTGACACAAAACTTGCAGTGTGAACAAGCTATGATGCCTTGGTGATGAAGCTGGCAATGATAAAGTCAGGGCTGGGACCTACCCAGCTATTGTTGGCTGCCTAAGTCTGCTGCAGGCATACTGTCTCTCTGCCCTAAGCTGAGCACTCTCTCCATTTTGACTTGGCTTGTAAGAGAGACCAAACACCTGGCTTGTGAGCCTTTTTTTTTTTTGGCAAGTGAGTATACGTCTCCTGGAAGACAATGCTTCCGACCTGCCTCTCAGTCTTTGGAAGATTAATACATCCAAGTCAATCAAAAATCTCAGCTGACGGATTGGTAGAGATTAGGAAGGGCACTACATGAAGCAGGAAGGATGACCTCTATCCTGATCTCCAGCCTCCATTTTTTTTCCTGATAGGTTTATTGATGTGCTGGAAGACGGACTTTAAAAAACAAACATAAAAATATTGGTCTATCTTCTGAGTCAAGCTGCAAGACAGACTGGACACCTGGCTAGCAAAGAGTAGACCTTACAACCAGTTTTGATCTGATGATCTTGCCATCGGACTATCAGTCTCCCAGCCTTGTTATCCTGTGGCAAAAGGAACAACATTTCTGGCTGACTGGTTGGGAGGAATAAGAGGGAAGTGGAAGGGAATGCTATCGATCTGCGTGCAAACTCCACCTGGACTAATAGGTCATTTTTTTTGTTCTGGTTTTGCCATAAGACTACTGATCTCCTAGGAGCAAAACAAGAACAACTAAATTTTGCAGCTGCTAACTGGCATGGAATATGAAGGAAGGAGAGTGGAGGAGTTTTATCCCAATAGTTTGCTTGGTTGTTGCTTACACAGGAGTACTGTTTTCCTGGAACATCAGTAATTCTGAAGCAAAAGAAAAAAATGTGGTTGACTGGTTGGTAAGGCATATATACTCAGCCATAAACCATCATTGATAACCACAGTAGCTGAGTCATTATGCTAAGTTAAATCAAAGGAGCTGCATTATGGCCTAGTGGAATGGGCAAATTTGGCCAGCATAAATATAGGACTCCTCCTGGGATAGAAACAATTTTCTATAACAAGCTAAATCTTTATTTCAGTGATACATAGGTCCCACTGATTTTAGCAGGAAACTAATTTTGCACGGATCTACCCTTTGTAATACTCAGTATGGGCAGTGTAATTACATGATGGTTTGATCTAACTTATACCTAATGGTTTGTCCATGATTTCTGAGGCAGTAAATCATTTCAAAACACTTTCATAAACTAAAGTTGTTTCTTTTTTATTTCAGTGAGTTTTATAGTGGGAAGGGCAATCCTACCTAGTACAATGGGGAATTCCAATGGTAATGGTCTTGAAGAACTCATTTTAGTTCATGTGGCAGGGATGGAGGAGTGGCATTTTCAGCCATTTTTATTGTTTATTTTTACAAAATTCCTTCCCATAGATTTTAAAGGGATGGTGTTTTTCTGTGTTACTTCCAGAACTGATGCAGATCGACTGCTGTTGGAAAGCATCTGGCCCACCACAAGATGCCTCTGTCTCTCCATAACTAATATCAATGTGAAAAAGTCACTGCTGTAAATATTTCTCTGGTGGCTAAGAGTGAAAAACTGAGGTTACATCTTCCCTTTCAAAAGTATTTCCCTCTCCTTGTCCTTGGGAAGGGAAAGATGAACAATCCAATGCAAATAAAGTTTATCATTTTTAAGATCTGCAACATTTTTATTGTATTTGCTGCAGAAAGCTAACATGATGTCCTCTCTAGAAACAGTCATGTCCATATACTGTATTTTCCATGATCACAGAATTGCAGAGTCATATTTAAAAAATGCAGGAATGTGTTATTTCTGAATTTATTTCCTTTAATTTTGAAAACAAAGAAAGTGATATGAGGTTATTCTAGCCTGCCGAATGTTGCTTAATAGCCTGGGCTGTTTGTTTTGCAATTCATGCTGATGCAGTTGTTGATTTCCCTGAACAAACAAATGAATTCACTCTTGGCAACACACATATTTATCAGAGCTAGAGAGCCCTGCTCCATGTTTGTTCATTCATGCTCTCTGGAGAGCATTTGCTGATGTGGCATTCACCTTACTCTGATCTTTTCTTTTTTTTATTCTGGTCCATCTAGATTAAGTGTGAAACAGTCAACAGCTAACTGTGGTTCCTGCATGAGAGCAGTTGACAGATACCAGTTTGGGTGGGTGGGATTGGCATCATCTACAAAGAAGATTACTAGAAAAACCCAATGGTAAGTTGGGAACTGCATGTTTATTTAAGCAGAATTATGCCTTGCCTTGTAGATTAATTTTAAAACTAAATGAAAAAGGGATTTTGTATAAATATATCAAGTGCATTCTGTTTTCATTAAAATCACTGGAACGTTGTGAAAAGTAATATTCCATGGAGAGGGGAACTGAATTCTTGGCTTTTGTTTTAAGAAAAAAGTTTCTGTGTAATCCTGGCTTTTTTGTAACTGATGGCCACATTCGATAGGTTTGCCATCCTATGGCAGTTAGCTTTAAGGGTGTCCTGAGTATATTGTAACACTCCCCTATATGCAAGAGCAGCGGTGAAGAGAGAAGAGTTATTGTGGCATATAGGTGATGGTATATAGCATAGTTTTTAGTAGTTGGCTTGGAGAGCTGGTTTAGAACCACTGAGAAGATTTTATTGATTTTGAGAACATCATCTGCCTGATGTCAGTGCTGCTTTTGAACATTCATTCTAACACTTTAAATTTTACAGTTAGTTTTGTCCTGTTCTGCTGGTGGGTTTTAGCCAAGGTAGTAGTTAAGCTATGCCACATATATCAATTTCTACACAGCTCTTTTTCTATGAGACCATTGTAAGTGGCTATTTTTCAGAGTAGAAATGTTGCAGCTTATGAACGTGTGTCTTTCTGGGCAGATTTCAAAAGAGAAAGCTATCAACAGATTGACCTCTTTGTCATTGAAAGCAGTCTGATCTGATTTCGAAACTATGTGTGATCTTGTTCAAAATCATGCTTTTCTAAGATAGGAAAAGAGCTGTCAGAAATGTCTAGCAATTGTTTTAAATGTAACTCAAGTATGTATTCTTCTTTCCTTTAAAGCATTTTTTCTTCTGGTGGAATTAGAATTTGAAAAAGATGCTACGTATGAGCTGGAATAGTCATCTGAAGTTACTATGTCACAGCATGGTTTCTGATGTGTATTTAAAGTTGTTTTTCTCAAGAAGCTTTGCCGTTAGCTGGAAGACATGGACATTCATGGACTCTGTTGTTGGAGATAAGAACATTGTTTTGATGGGGCCTCCTGGCGCTGGAAAAACAACAGTAGGAAAAATATTAGGTCAGAAACTGGACTCTTGTTTCATAGATGTGGATGATGATGTCCTTGAAACAACTTGGAATATGAGTGTGGCACAAAAATTGAAGGAAGTTGGGAATGAGCAGTTTATAGAAGAAGAAGGAAGAGCCCTCTTAAACCTTTCAGCATCTGGAAGTGTAGTTTCCCTTTCTGGATCTAACCCAATGAATGCTGCTAGCATGGAGCATATGAAGAAAAATGGAATAGTGGTATATCTGGATGTACCCACAGAAAGCATAATGGATCGTTTGAAATTAATGAAGGTGGATCGTATTGTGGGACAAGGTCAAGGTACATCATTAAGAGACATTATTCAGATCAGGAAGCAGTTTTACAAAAAGTGGTATGATGTCCGTGTCCTCTGTGAAAATGGGATTACAGCAGAGACTGTAGCAGACAAAGTGCTTCATGCTGTTAAGAGGTATCAAGATTCTGAGCTGGAATGCTTCATTTCCACCCGTGGCATTAAGAAAGATAAGTCAAGGAACTGCGTTAAGTATTTCAGTGATGCTCTTATTGAAGGTCTGGCCCCAGATGGTGGGCTCTTTGTTCCTGAGATGGGACTTCCAAAATTCACTGGTGGAGAATGGCAACATTTATTAGGGGCAACTTATACCGAAAGAGCTCAGGTTATACTGGAAAGGTGCATACATCCTGATGATATTCCTGCTTCCAAATTGTGGGAAATGATTGAGATGGCATATGGACAAAATTTTATGTGTTCTAAGGTCGCCCCAGTTAGGCATCTGCAAGGGAATCAGTTTCTTCTGGAGCTGTTTCATGGACCGACGGCTTCATTTAAGGATTTGTCTTTGCAGTTACTGCCCCATCTCTTTGCATATTGCATTCCCCAAAGCTGCAATTACTTGGTCTTGGTAGCAACTTCTGGTGACACCGGAAGTGCAGTTCTAAATGGTTTTAGTCGACTGAAGGAGACTGATAAGCAAAGAATTGCTGTGATCACTTTCTTTCCTCGTGACGGAGTTAGCCAGATACAGAAATTCCAGATGACCAGCTGCCAAGAAGCAAACACAAAGGCAATAGGGGTCCAGTCTGATTTTGATTTTTGCCAATCTGCCATCAAACACATGTTTACCAATTCAGATTTTACTGGCTTTCTCACAATGGAATATGGAACAGCGTTAAGTGCCGCAAATTCTATCAACTGGGCACGCTTGCTTTCCCAGGTGGTTTATCATGCATCAGCTTATCTGAACCTTATTGAGCAAGGTGTTATTTCATTTGGGAGCCCCATAGATGTCTGTATTCCCACAGGTAACTTTGGCAACATATTAGCCGCGATCTATACAAAAATCATGGGGATCCCTATTCGGAAATGTATCTGTGCTTCCAATCAAAACAACGTCTTGACTGAATTTTTAAAAACTGGCCTGTATGATTTACAAGGAAGGCAATTAATGCCAAGCTTGTCCCCAGCAATAGACATTTTGAAGTCTTCCAACCTTGAACGTTATTTACACCTGATTGCTAATGGTGATGGACAGCTGGTGACACAGTTACTTCTCCGCCTGGAAAACCAGCAGTGCTTCCAGTTGCAGGAAGAGCTCCTGCGAAAGGTTCAGCAGGACTTAGTGGCCGATTGGTGCTCTGAGGAAGACTGTCTGGATGCGATACACTCTGTGTTCAATACCACAGGGTACATTCTGGATCCACATACAGCTGTTGCCAAAGTGGTTGCAGATCGACTTCAGGATAAAACTTGCCCCGTTATCATTTCTTCTACTGCTCATTATTCCAAGTTTGCACCTGCTATCCTACAGGCACTGAGGATTGGGGAAATAAAACAGACTCCATTAAGCCAGCTTCAGTTGTTAAACTCATATAACCCTTTGCCTCCAGTCCACGGGGGCCTATTAGAGATGCTGCGAAAGAATGAGAAACCAAACTATGAGATCTGTGCTGCTGACGTGAATGTCCTTATGGAACATGTTGAAGGCTTAATACAGAATCGCTTTATGAAGGTTTTCTAACTGCAAGATGCTTGGTGCTGGCTAGCTGTATTGTTTTTAATATCCTCGCTCCCCTGTATGTTTTAATAAATGCTTAGTAGACGCAGTTAACTTTAGTGAATATATACAACAACAAATGCCAAGTCCAACAGAAGCAAAACAAGTATAACTGAAAAAAAGTTATATTCCCAAAGGCGAAATTGTTGTTTGGAAGAAAAAGAAAACAGAATGGAAAATGTTGTGCAGAGCCTGCTGAGAGGTTTACTATGTAGTACACATTTGCGAATTATGTGCTTTTTTTGTGAGGCTAATAGTATCTTCTTCTTGGTGGGGGGATGATACACATAATTATCTTCTCTTGGTTACCATTCAGTCTTTCGGAGTTGGAGATCTAATCCATGGATATCTCACCATCATACCTAACCATATCTGTAGCGTAGTGTTTCTGAACCTCAACAACTTTAAGATGTGTTAAACTTAAACTCCCAGAATTTCCAGCCACCCCACTGCTGTAGGGCTTTGTTAAAAAACACACTTTGGGTTCACGGATCACATTCAGCCATACTTTGCTTTAACTCTTGCTTGTTGGAAAAATCATAATGGTCTAGTTCACACAAAAAGTACATCTTTCCAATCACAGTGGCTGGATTCACATGTTCTGCTAATCCAAAACAGGCTCTACTTTGCTATAGCTTAACTGGATTAGCTGTGTTAATTCTTTGGCTTCTGTAGCTAAATGTAATGGATGAATTCAGACTGTGTGGTGTTTAAAGTGGATACATGGAACTCAGAGCACTGTGTCACCTTCCAGACAGAGAGTGCAAAATATTTTGTAGAACAAAACATGATTATGGCTTAGTGCAGGAGTGGGCATCATGGAGGCTGCATATGGCATCCCCAGCACACAAGGAGTTCACCACCACATCCCCAAAATGGTCAGTTTGGGGCTGTGCAATTGCTTTGGGTTTTTTCCCTCAGAAATAAGGGGAGTGGGGGAGAGTGGGAGGTTTTGAGAGGCAAACTGCTCTGGTTTCCCCCTTTAACCACCACTCTGCAGTCTCCAAAATGGCTCAAAAGTCTGATGGGGTCATGTGCAACCTTCCAGCTTTGCAGGGGAATTAACTCTGTTTCCTCACCCTCAGCAAGGCTCCCACAGTGTGCATTCAGTGGGATGTGTGATCCCAACTGCTACTCTTCAAACATAACCTCATAAAACTGCAAAACTACACAGTGATATTAGGAATATAGGACCTTAGCTTGGCATTATCTGTGTTATCAGGCAGCAGGTCTCCTTGGTGACAAATGAAGGACTTCCATGTCATATGTTAACTAACCTTTTTATGTGGAAGTATTGTAGTACAAGTAGTCCTCACTTAGCAACCATAATTGGGACTGGAAACTCCATCACTAAGCAACATGGTTGCTAAGCGATGCATCACATGACTGCAACTGACTTACAACATCACTTCCAATTTGCTCATTAAGTGAATCACCATGGGTCGTTAAGTGGGACATCATGTAACTGTGACTTGTGATTTTACTGCTGGCTTCTCCATTGACTCTGCTTGTCAGAAGCCGGTTGGTGATCACATGACTGATCACATGACTGTGATCACTGTGAAATGGTATCACATGACTGTGGGGATGCTGCGATGGCCGTAAATGTGAGGACTGGTCATAAAGTTACTTTTTCAGTGCTGTTGTAACTTTGAACAGTTGTGAAACAGGGTAGTTGCTGAGCAAAGTTTACCTGTAGTATTAAGTGTACTTACAAAGCAAGCAGTTTTGTATAAAGTTGCCAACTACCACAACCTTCTAAGTTCTATGGAGTTCACCAAGTTTATTGGGTACACCTTCTAATACCACTGCATTATCAGAATTGCATCTCAGTGGAATATCCTAATGAGTTTAATAAAATCAATTATGTATGTTTAATCAAATGCAGCAGGTAACAAGTTCTTAATAATGACTGCTTGGGTGTTTTTATTTCTTTAAAATCATGCTATTAAATGATGGAGTAATATAAGTAACAGAAATCTGTGGTCTCAGCAATGAATACAACAAAAAGGTATTATGGTATGAGTTCTTGCAAGGAAACATCTACTCCATATCTAAGTAATATAGTTATTAGAGGGGAAATTGCTGTTTTCAGCCTCTGTTGCATCTGCATTGATTCGGATGTCACACGCTGTTAAAATACTACAAAATCAATACCCCTGAGCATACAGAGTTTATGCTAGTCTTCTTCAACCTGGTATTTGCATTGGGATCTCGGTTCCTAGATGTCGAGAGAATTCTGGGTGTTAGCAGCCACAACACATCTGGAGCCCACCCCTTTCCATTTAGCGGGGTCAGGCCATCATATTGCACTGAATGAGGAGGTAACCATAGGCAGTGGGTATTATTTACTTACATAGCACGTAGGTAGCGATTGAACAGTTGCAAAACAAAGAGTCCTGCCCAAAAGTGTACAGATGAAATACATAACTGGTTTTTGAGAAATTGATGTGGGAGACCAAAGAGTATCTTTATGCTTACCCCGCAGGGGTGGCAGAGGTGGCTGCTATTTTGCTTGGCTGTTTTTCCAGTTATATGCCTTGCCATAACTCTACAACCTCTGGCTGCCCCCTTCTTGATGAGAAAAGGAGGCTTTTTTTCAGATGTCTCCCTTTGGAGCAGAGGGAAGCAACGAGCAGCAGTGTTTCTCAACCTTGGGAGCTTTCAGATGTGTGGACTTCCACTC